GCGGCAGTTTCTGTGTTACTATAGGTTGAGCAATTGGAGGCCTATTGACAGGCGACATCACCAAGCGCCGATAGTTAATGTGCCGATAAGGCTCAGGTACAATTGTAATCTGAGTGCTTCTGCCCGTCATCTTGAAGTTGTTTTCGATGGCTTGTTTAAAGGAGACATACCCTTGTCTAACATCATCTGGGGAAGCTACCCCAAAGAAGCATTCGGTTTTTCCTTGGATCCAAGCTCGAACGTGGTCAGGCGTGCCAATGGCAAGGCTGATGAGCTTGGGATGAAAGGAATTACCAACAAAGGAGCGTATTGTTTGCGAGTGTAAAACGTGTTTAAGGCGCGAAATAGTGGCAAAGTTGCGGCTGAGACCTGAGACTTGCAAAACCTCGCTGTCAGTTAAGAAACGAAAAGGAACTCGCATACTGCTGTTGTGGAATAACGGAAGAACATCACGAAGCGCAGCATCCTTCTCTGGATTAGAGGAGGCTTTGCTGTAGAAGCAACTCAGAAAGCGCCTCCATGCCGGATAATAAATTGCAGGTATAAAGTCACTCCATTGAAAGGCAGGAACAGAACTGTCAGTGAACATTTTTGCTACGACAGCAAAACGTTCATGTGTGTGCCAGTATGAAGTTCTCCACTGTAGAGCTGCAGGGTGGTAGCTAGTCCAGCTGTAGCGAAGAGCGATATCGCTGAGGACTTCAAGGGGTCGCATGAAAGGTTTGATAAAAACGTCGCGAAACTTCCCTTTATCATGGATGGAGAGCGGTTTCCAGTCAGCTGGCCATTGGAGGTCTTCTTGGCACAAGGCTTGTGCATCGACTGTGTCATGGAGGATGTTGTTTTGAAAGAAAAGACGAAGTCTTTTTGCTGGCGATATTTTAGACGTACACCAAGTCATTTTGTCTCGTGTAATGTGCGATAAGCCAAGACAGGCTCTGATGAAAGTAAAGTGATCATAGTGCATTGAGCCTGCATTTTCAATAAGAAAGCGGATATGCGTCTTGGGAAGGACTGTACCAAGCAGATATAGCGCGAGATGCATCGTAAAGAAGAAGACACTGTCAGGACCACAGATACCTAAGCGTCCATGTTCTTGACCAGCATAGGTGAGGTCAGTGCAGGGACTGCCTCCAATGACAAAGACATGACAAGAATCACTTAAAGTGACAAACTCTCTTAAGATTCTCGCTCCATCATCAAAGAGAAGGTCGACATCATTCGCATAGAGGAAAATGCCTCCTTTGAGGCTGTGTATCCACTGAACGTTAACAGAGATTCCATGTTTTTCTGCAACCAAATATCTGAGCGTTTCATCTCTTTCACACAACAAACAGACTTTGGGGCGATAGCCAAACTTTTCAATGAGAATGTCCAAGGACGATCCGCATCCATCGAACATGCTCAGGACAGCATATGGTGGTTTGGACTCAATACTTTGCATGGGATGATCAATCGGAGAGGCAGGCAATGAGAGGTGGTCAGCTTGCGATGACTGCGACAAAGATGCTTCAATGGCTCTCAGTTGCTCTGCAGGAATAGTTGCATCATTGGGGCATAGTTTCTCCGGGATGTAAGCAGCCTGGAGTTCGCTCGGATTGAGAGGGACAGGGCCAACAACATCTTTTCGATTCCCAACGTCAATGGCCCTTTTTGTAGCATGTTTTCTCTTAGGAGTACTCACTTCCCGCTGCCCAAACTTGTTTTTGGCACGTTTTGAGTCTTTGCCATGCGCAATATTGGAAGTTCGTTTAGGAAGTCGCGTGTGACACCATGTGCTCGAAATTGTTGCATGTCGGTAAAGAATACCACAAATTCGATCACCTGCTTTAAGTTGTGAGATACATAATTGGCTCAGCCCGGTAGCATTATCATACTTTAGGATTGTAGAGCTGGTATTTTCATGTTCTAACACGTAGAAATGCTCACACGGTTGCTGCTCCCCATTCAGTGGGTCAGGACCCTGATGAATAACTAAGGCAATGCATTGCCAAATTTGCCCACTTGAGTGGAAGGTATCTTTGTTAAGAAACTTGTCATAATCTGTTGCAAGCGGCTGGTTCTTTCGTAAAAAATTCAGCCATACAAGTCGACAAGGTGAACAAGAAACAGTGGCCCAGTTGAAGTTACTGGCACATTCTTGACATTCTTGACAGACATTTATTCCATCATCTCGTCCAGTGGGCAAAAGATGCTCTGACCATGGAAAGGCAGCTTCAAAAAAGGCAACATGCAATAAAAGTCCTGTCGGAGGGTTGGTGACTATGAAAGTAGCGACATTGTGCTCGACAGTTCTGCAACAACTCAGACAAGTAAATGAGACTCTGGATCCTAGTAAGTCATGAAATGGAGGCGGAATAATAGCAACAATAGACTCATATGTTCTGAGCAAGTCCATATGAGTATCCTTGGGGAGAGCAGACATAGCCAAAGCTAGGTGATAATGATCGAAATCATCATTCGGTAAATGAGATGCACACGTCCAGCCTTTGGCTACTGCAACCATTGCTCGGTGACCAATGTGATTTTCGAAGTTTACCTGCTTGTTCCAGTTTGCTTTGGAGACAATACGTAGTGCTGCCGTATAGTAGCAAGCAGTAGCATTAAGGTTCTCATATAAAGATACAGCCCGTTGAATGTCTTCATCCTGAAAGTCCATGTTTTGAAGAGAGACATCACGGCTGATCATCTGCTGTATCTGGTGAATATATGATTGCCGACGTTTGTTTTGGAGGATCTCATTGACTGAGTTTTTGTTCGTAGCGCAACAGGAGACATGTTGGGCGTTGATTCCCCGTTTCACGAGATGATGGCTAAGGCCATCACCTCGTTTTGGGGCGGGTTTTGCAGTAGGTTTCTTAGTCGCCTGTCGACGCGGATCACCAGAGCTTTTCTTAGGGGTGGGTCTCCTGTCAAGGATTTCTTCAACAGTATGTTTTGACTTGGTTGAATGGACTCGATGGCCTGCTATTTTTCCGGGATCGTCTTCAAGTTGTTGTTGTAACTCTTGGTATACCTGCTCACAAAACGAATCGGTTGAAAGTTGTGAAGCTTCATTGCCCGATGGGCATTCGTTGAGAGAAAAAGGAACAACTACATTCTCTTCAGGGAGCTCTTTAATTTGGTGGGTTTCGGCATTGTGGGTCTGGGATTGCTGTAAGTCATTAGGACCGGCGATACAATCAAGCTTGATGTTTCTGTTTGCAGAGTGCAAGGCAAAGCTTTCATCAACTTGCATTGTTTCATTTACAGCGCAAGAATCGTTTTGAGTATTGGAGATGCAAACCTTGCTTACTGACAATCGTTCAGGTGCCCCAGCAAGTTCTAGCAAAGAAGGTTCTGGGTTGACATGACTTTCTTGATTCGCAGCTTGATGTTCACCACGGTCTTTTGTTAGGGGAGATGTAGTCACATCACTACAACGCTGGTCCTTTTTGGTTGGGGAGTGATAGGACAAAAGGTCAAAGTCCTGCTTCGGTGTTGGTTCTTCTTCTCGGGATGTAGAACCAGTTGCATCAATTTCAGTTGGTAGGGGACTGACTGCATCTTGATTATGATCAGACGAAGACGGAATCGAACGAGCAGGTGATTGCTTGTTGTCACGACACTCGCCAGTGAAAGAGGTATCTCTTTGGGCATTTGTTCTATGTTGAGGGTTGCTGCTAGTAATCTTTGTAACATGCTTAGTTGCAACGGGCTCTGTAGCATGATTCTTGTGTGAGAATTGATTATTGTACCAAATCGAGAGTATGCGGCCAAAGGGAGCTTTCTCAAAGACATCATGAATGTCTATCTGACCTGGTAGAAAGAGAATGAGGTTAGCACGGTCATAGACACTGAGCTCTAGTGCATTACTGAAACACCGAGAGACTTTACCTCTTTCGAAGCGTGGTTGTAGGACTTGCAGCTTTTGACCTTGTTCAATTTGGCAATGAATAATACTTTCATGCTCAGGTAAAGTTGTGATGACATCTGCATTGTACTGTTGTGGAGGTGGCTTTGAGGTCGTACATTCAAGAAAGATTGTATGATGGTCAAGGAGATGCTTTTGTCTCATCAAAATATCAAGGAGATGAGTAACCTCTTTCGTGGAGAGTTCAGCTTCGACGAGGCAAATAGGAACTATTTCATCAAGCAAATCAACAGCAATGTCTCGCTTGCCGATTTCAAAGCTAAAGACTTGCAGCTGCCCAAATCTTCTGCGCGACATGCTGTTACCTGGTAGAGGAAAAAATCCACTAAGCCGAGCACCCTGACATAGTCCTTTATTATGTGCCCCAACATGGTGGTCAGTTTTTGTTTCTTTAACGTAAATGTTGGAGGTCCGTTCTGCAGTATGGACATCAGGCTGTTTGTAGTGGACAATTCTTTTTCGTGCTTTGTGGTCAACAAAGGTACCAGGTATTCGCGGAAGTGAAGTGGGCGACGCAAAAAAGGCAACAACTTTCTGTTGACCTTTATCTTGGACATGCACTATGGCAGGTCGGATCTGTATTGCGCCCAAGACTTTTTGTAACTCTTCACTGAAGTCTACATCAACAGAACCATCTTTCATCATAAGTGATCCGTCATCCTCAATTTGAAAGGCTTCATGGGTGTCACTTCCAGTAGTACTAATGTCAACAATCCAACAATTTTCGTTGGTTCCCGCAGTGAAAGAACATTGTAGGCTGCCTTCTTCTTTGCCAAAGGGAATCTTGATCTGTTCTTGGAAGGTTCGAAGCCTGAAATTTTCAAGTTCAGCTCCTTCAGCATAGATAACCAAAAGTTCATGAGGGATGGAGGTATACCCCTACCATATACCCCTAGAAGGTTACAATATGGCCACTATATAGCATTATATAGTATTATATATAGATTATATTTCATAATATAAGCTCTATTTTCTATAATATAGCTCTAAATAATGACATCTGCCTGTCTGCCCAACAGATTGCATCGCTGTCAATCTGCCCATCTGTCAAACCTCTGTGAATCTCTGGAACTCGGCTTTTCTTGCGGTGAAATCACTTCTTGGCTTTCTTCTTGGGTTCTTCGTTCGAAGAGCCCTTGGAAGAAGAAGCTCTCTTGGACGCTGTGGCACTACTCGCGCTGTTCATGATGGCAGCCACATGCTTCATATGGCTCGGAGGCGCCATTGTCTCATCGATCTCCAAAGGAGTAGGGCCTTCGTCAGAAACATGTGGCCCCAGACTCTTTGAACCCAACACACAAACATCATGTCTGTCAAGTTTTAAATTGTATCTTTAGCACCTCTTGGGCCCACTTTCATATTCCAGGAAAGAGAGAAACCGGCCGGCCTGATTTGGCCTTGGCGTTACTCTTCCCTTTCGGCTTGGCAGCAGCTTTGGGCTTGCTAGCGGCTTTGGGTTTGCTGGCGGCTTTGGCTTTGCTAGCAGCTTTGTCCTGCTTGGACAGTTTGGAATTCTGTCGCTTCTTTCGTCTCGGGCTGGAGGATGAACTAGACGATGATGAGGAGGAACTTGATGAACTAGAAGAGGAAGACAGCGCTGCATCAGCTGCGTCCTCCTCTGGAGCATCAGGCTCTGGCTCGGCTGCCTTCTCAGACACTGCCGCCGCAGCAGCAGCATCTAGACCAGCCGCGTCGTCATCGACTGGCCCCGGATCAACTTCCCCTGCAAGTACTCGGTCCAAAGTATCCTGGATTCGCTTTGAGCTTGGCCGGCCGCTTGTGTCCTTGAGACAGGGGAAAGACAGATTCCCGTTTCAACACTGTAAAACAAGTAATAGAATGTCCGCCGATCCTCTGCCACAGGCAGAAGCGAGGCGTGTTTTGTGGAAGGTTGCTTGCAAAGATTGCTTGTGAAGAGTTTGACCTTGTGTTTAGACGGTTCCTTGGCGCGTATTTTTTTCACTGACTTCACCCCCCCTCCCCCCCATGCGTTTGCTTTTGCTTACTACTTAACCCGTGTCTTGTCTCACCCTTTATGTACACACACGCCGACGCATTTGAGCGGTTGCGCGCGCGCCATAGCACTTGACAATAAGCTTCCGACTTGTGGACCGCTCTTTTTGGGGTGGCGGAGCTGGCCGAAGGCCATTAAGTAATTAGAGGCCTAAACTCAGGAAAGACATCAAAAGCCTGTTCTATAGCGCCTTCCAGAGTCATATCCCTCTTTGCCATGCAAAGTCCACAGTGCATCCACCACGTGTTTCAATGCTTGAAATTGGGTGTATTTCCCTCCGTATGACCTGGACTTGGTCACGTGAGTCTTTTTCCTACCCTTCTTGTTGGCCTTCTGCTTCGCAAGCTCCTCGGGCTTGAGGGGGTAGTACCCCTCAAACGCAGCTATACTTGCAGAAGTCTGCCAGACCAGATAGCAGCCATGTCGTTGAGGACGAAGGTCCTTCACAATGCGAGGTGTCCTCTGGACTCCTGCTTCCCGGGTGTATCCACATCGTTCAAGCACCAATTCGCGCCTGTGCTCATCATTGACCTGCTCAAAAAGGTCAAAAAACTTCTTTGAATCAGGCTCGTAGCTCATTGCGCCTAGCACCTCCCTCAAGCATTTGGGTTTGTACCCTCTCGCTGTGTCGCGCTCATCCTCCTTCTTGATGTTGGCAGTGGCCAGCCGTTTTACCAAAGCATCTTGATCCACTTGAGGCAAATGAGCGCAATACGCCGCTACCAGAGCAGCCCTGGGTCTTCCGGGCCAAAGCAGTCAACCACACCAAACACAACAAGGAACAAACATAGCACTGATAAAAAAGGGAAAGCCATACCACCTGACTGTCCAAGGAACACCATGTTTGCGTTCGTTCGTTTGCCCTTTGCTTCCACTGCAACTCCACAGTCCTCGCACAAGCGCCGCAGTGTCTCTTGGTTTGGAGCTTTAGGTACGAACTGTAACCAAAAGCCCGTGAGACACAGATCTGCTGAAGACCTCTTCAAACATATGCGCACCCTGCTGCTGCTAGGCTCGTGGAGGCCTGGGTGGAACGGTGACTATGATTATAGAAACATGAGGGGAACTCACAAAACCTGCCCTGATCTTGAGCCAAAATGGCATCAAGATCAGGAGTTACCCCTACATGTTTCAAATCCCAAAATGTCCCTACCCAACCATCCATTCATTTTGGGGAGACAATAAAACAATCAGTCGGACAACAGCGACAAGAAACCCACACCACAGAAGTTTGGAGCAAACTTGCCAACACCTAGCTTTCGGGCTCAACCAAGGTGCATACACTTGCTGGAACTCCTGCAAGAGCTTCGTCTTCGGGCTTTCCGGGTTTGCCCAAGACGGTTGCAGTCATCACGACCAGGTCCTGCGCCTTCGCAGGCGCAAAAACACCGGGCAGCACTTCCTCAAGCCTCCACGCCAACCCCGTCAAGAAATGAAATCCAAGACACAACAGGAATTGGCCAGAGGACTTCTCGAGGTAGATATGGCCTGGCAAGAAGACCAAGCCCTTCCACATGCTACCAACATCCCTGAAGCTGCTTTGCCGGCTCAACTTCATAGCCAGGAATGCAGACACTGATCTGAACTCACCTTGCTGGCCAGCTGGCCTGTAGACCTGATCTTTCCTCGCTCTGAGGCCACAGCTCTTGGTTGTGTTCTTGTTGCCTGACGGGTGCCAAGCAATGAAACGGCAATCAAAGTGCTCCCTGCCAAAACTGCGGGCGTTAAAAAAATGAAGGGCTAGGCAGGCCTGGGATTTGGGGTTGACGGCGTTAAACTTTAAACATCTACATGTTCTTTTGGTATACAGCGCCGAACCTCTTGCGCAAGTGTCCCTCTTGATCTTGTCACAAACATCCGAGCTTCGCCGCACATGTTGCGCAGGAAAGAAAACTGCCTGGGTCTGGTGTTGTCTGCGCGCGCCCCGGTCGAAAACATCAACCTCCGTCAAATGCGCCAGTGGAAACTCTTCCCTGTTCATCCGGGGGCTCATTGTCATGATGAACCAGAGGCGCTCCAAAGTTGATGTCCTGTAGTTCTTGTTCTGACTGCGTATTTTGTTGGCAATGGTCGAGAACGAATCCTCCAGAGGCTCTTTCGTACTGACGATGGTGTCAAAGAGTCTGTAAACATGGCCATACAGGGCATCCAGTTGCCACGAGAACATCTCTGCGTGCTTCCAAAACTCCTGGCACAGCTTTGTTGTGATGAACCTACTCTTGGTAGAGTGGTGTATATATAGTTACGGTCGTATTTGGGGGGGCTGGTGCATCAATGCACACTGACTGATATGGGCCAACCAACGCAAACTTCCTCACACACCCCACTCATCGGTGCTCCCTCCATGTCCAGCATGTACGCGTCCTGGACCAATGTCTCTCGGTGGTACCACAGCTCGGAGAAGCAAAGCTCCAGCCCCTGCAACAAGCTAAGCCAATATTGCAGCGATTTTTCTATGTACTATGAATGATATCTTTTATTGGCTTGCTTCCACACGCACGAGGGCTATCACACGCTACCCTACTTTGAGAACAACTCAAACATTTTCAAGTTGTAAACCAGGCCTTCCAATCCCCTTCTTTCTTTGTGAGGTAGTCCCAAGCTTCAACAATGACTGACTGTTCCTCTTCCAGCTCAGACAACTTCTGGGAGACACGGTCGGTGTTCTTGTGCAGCAACCCTGCCCAGGAAAGCGGAGATACCTCAGACCAAATCATCATGCTCCAAGCCCTCTTCGAGACAGCTGAAACAATCAGCTGGAAAAAGTCGGACGCAGCTTCTCTGGTGCAATCACTTGCACCATCAGCATTGCGGATTCCCAGCTGCCCAAGAGCAAATGCATCTGTGAGCTTGTCAAACATCTTGGAAAGGGTTTGGGTCCATGTCCTGCAGGCCAAGTCAGCCTGCCACTGCATGTTTGTTTCGCGTGTGTTGGTGGCGTCCATGAGCTCCAGGTGTTCGGTATTCAGAGCTTTGCGGGCAAAAAATATCCTGGGCTGCAGTCAGAGTAACCTGAATATATTAACATATAACAAAATGTGGACCACTGATGTATGAGAGATACTCAGGTACCAAACTCACAGCAACTGTGCCCAAACAATCTCAGTCAAGCAGGAAAGACATTGCCAAATAGTGCTTTGGACCTGCCAGGCAGCATGTGCGCATACTCTCGAATTCGCTCATCGCACAGCAGGTCAAAGGAAATTTGTAGATGACTTCGCTGAGCGTGCAGCTCCTTCAAGGCCTTGAGCAGTGATGCTTTTGCCGCTTCTGATCCTCCTCGTAATGAATCTACTGCTTTTCTAAAGTGCTTCTCACAGTCGTCCGCAGGTTCCTCCTGATGTTCTGTCTCACCAAAGAGTCAAAGCAGCATCCCCAGTCTTGGAGGGTCTTTAAAGGGCCCAAACCTATGTCTTTTCGCTCAAACTCTTTGGGCAACACTTTGAAACCAAAGCCTGCAACAAAAAAACAAAAACCCTGTTCCTCTGGAGCCTCTCCCTTCAATGTGAGGTAGAACTTGTAGATCTTGCGGAGAAAATGCCAATGTGGTCCAATTGTTTTCCAAGCGGAGTCCCAGTTGAACCATCTTGACAGCGCTGCCTGGCCCACTGAAAGGGACTTTGAACAACTTTCTCTGTGGTTGTGGAACCTTGGCTTCTAAGGTTGTTTTTACCAACGCAACCTTACTTTTTGTCTAAGGTTGCATTTACCAGTTCACCCCTACTTTTTGTCATTGTTTGGTGTGACTTAGGCTAAAATATGAGCCCAGTCACATCTGTTGTGGACCACCCAGCAATCCCATCTCTGCAGCGTTGGTGGACAATCTCTGGAGGTGTGTCACGAGGAAGCGCTTGGTCCATGCATATACCCTCGAGGGCGTCCTGGAACCTAGACGTGAGCAAGCCAACCAATCTAAGTGGGCAAGTTGTAGGGCTTCAGACCCTGTTCCTTGCATTAGCTGACCTGCTCGATATAAAACACCCAGACTAAACACTTGCAAAAACCTTCATTCAGAGTCAAGAGACTCAGTAGAGTAGGGGTCATGGATGTCCAAGTAGCAATGCGCTATCTGAGCCAACTCCCTTCCCCACTCATGACTGTCGAAGGGGCCCCTGCAGCTTCTCACAATGTGCCGCACACAGGCCACCACGCCTAGAGGGCCGCTTTCAGGAACCTCGTGGTGTGTTTCCCCTAAATTCCAGAACAATGGGGCAATTGTTTCACGCATCTGAGCACGAAAAATCATACTCAGAACAATTCCGACTGGCAATATTGGGTTTACAAAGACAGCTTGGGGCCCTTGCCTACAAGTACTTGCAACATAAACCTTTTCAACAGAACGGGCCCCATAGTCCACGTGCTTTCACACAGTTGTCTGCGTCGTTATGCATCCGGTGATGTTCTTCCCGCTTCCTCAACGCTCGTAGGTGAGTGCTATATAGAAGATAGTTTTCGCACTTCTGCCTCGGTAGCGATATTATCATATAAAAGATGAATCGGATCAGCTTCGACCAAAAAAGGTCAACAGGCCCTATAGACTTATAGGATAAGATGTCCCCCCCAAAACTGATAAGATAATACGCCCTCCGAACACATTTCAAAGGCCAACCTATGGTGCTCCAGTGATTTTCATGACTAGGGGACGAACTGTTCGGGTTCTTCGTCCGACGTCAGGATCAAAGTCTTCCTGTGTTCCAGCGCTTTGGGATCAGGCAACCCAGGTTGCGGTGGCTGCACTGCTGGCTCAAAGTCAGTGAGACAGCGCTGTGTTATTGAGTGCACAGCGTTCTCCAACCCCAGAGAGAACTTCCAAGGGCCCTTTTTTGACAAAGGAGACTCTTTCAACATTGCTTTGGCTGAGCCATCCGGTATAATCTGTTGAGCTTCCAGCTCCTGGACATGCAAACTAAGTTGAATGGTGTGTCAGACACACATGTATATATATATATATATATTTGTTTTACTGTTGTTGATCTTGCTTGTAGTACGTTGTTGCAGTGTAGAGCAGGCAGGGTGTGCGCAAACAAGTTAGGGTACGTGTGTTCAAAGAAGTTAGGATACCCGCGGCCGTGGACCATTTGAGAACTCTTGAAAGCAGCTCTTGAAGCTTTCAAACAAAACAAAAGTCTTGCGCTTGAAGGTTTCCCCAACCCGAGTCCGCTGCCACTGTAAGAAGTTTGACTTCTTCAGTGTCTTCAGGAGAGTTTGATGATAGGATCGAGGGATCATGCACCTCAGGCCACAAATCAAATGGACATTGTCACGAACATGTTTGACCCTAACCCTTTACGAGCATCATGCCGGGCAATGGTTGCAGCTGATGCTTTTTTGGCTGCGCAGCTGACGTAGCTGAAGCAGGCTTGGTCTTTCGGAAGCAAAGCGCCCTGCCAAAAGATCCAAAAGATCTAGTCTGCAATGGGCCCATCTTTTTGAACTTAGTTACTGTAGTTGGGTACACGCTCTACAGGCCTGACGGTGACAAAACAATCAGACTCTAGACTACATGGAAATTTGAACACAGCCTGTACAAAACAATAGATAGAGTCTGGTGGAGCAATCCTTCAACACCAGAGTCTGAAGACATACGTCGTACGGATCTGGGCCTGTTGCAGCTGTTTGCGGGCAAGTCTGCAAACCGGAGTGAGTCTGAGCACCCTGATTCAGGGACCATTGTTCCTAGCTTGCAACAGTGGCTGGTAAGGGTTGCAAAGCACAACTTTCAACAATGGGCCCGTTGGGAAAGAGATACAGGAGTCACTCTATTCTTACTTTCAAGCGACATGGGCAACCTGTTTTCGGGACCTACAAGGGATGTCGTGACACTTGATGGAAACGATCAATTATATATATATATATATTGCTTTTTGTTTCCTGTTGTCATCCCCTTGTACCTTCCTAAGTGGTGGAAAACTGCTGAAAACCAGTATTCCCTGCTCTATGGCCAAGCACGTCCAAACACCACCAACTATCCAATCAGTATCCAACCCCTGTGTGGCTGCCACCAATGGTGTGGACATGCGTAGACGGCTGAAAAACCAATATCCCCTGCCGTTTGGCCGGGCGCGCCCAAAAAACCACCAACTATCCAATCACTATATCCGACCCCTGTGTGGCTGCCACAAATGGTGTGGACGTGTGTGGACCCCAAAACCACCAGCTATCCAGTCACTACCCAACCCGTGTGAGGCTGCCTCAAATGGTGTGGACTGCTGAAAACCAGTATTCCTTGCTGTTTGGCCAGGTCT